TACTATTGGGGTGTGTGAGGGGCGAAGCCCCTCACGAGTTTGGTCTGTTTCCTCAAAAATTTTTGGTGCTWAAGCCCCCCTAATGTCTTTGGTGATTTGCGCCTATGCTTAAAATTTACATTGAAAAATATTTTATGAGGAAATCCTATATAAGTGACTATGATTATTGTTTGAATAAGTTTTGCCCAGGGCYTAGCAAAAAGCAGCTCCGACCCTGCACCACRGATTCTTATTAATTTAATTAACCTTTATATAAATGTGATGATTTTATAGATTCCTTTTATAAAAATTACCTCCGCCCCCCTCCCACGGGCTGTGCTATGACCATACAATTATATGGAGTATTTTCATCCTACAAGTACCATGTATGGTATGATTATATGTATCTGCAGATACTGTTTTATTGAGCGTAGGTACCATGCCAAGGCAGTGGCGTCRTTTTTTCAGGGGTGGCAGAGTAGGCACTTAGGGGGGGGCTAGTCATTAAAGGATCAGATATGAGCTGGTGTTCTGCTAGTTTTGAACCATAAGCCAGCAAATATGACTCATAACATTGCTTCATAAAAATTAACCATGATTATTGCTAAAACGTAAATAATAATTATAAGGTATATTAGATATTATGTATTATGTATTTCTAACTTATGAATATTATATAATTGAATAATATAATGGTCCAGGGGTGAACGCAGGGGGGAGGGGGTAGGGATTTAAACACCCCCCGAAATAGTAGGTACAAAAAATAAATTATCTGACCTACAAATGTATTAGTGTATTACTAATAACATTTCAAAAAAATTAAAATAAATTATTAGTTAGGTATTAAAAAGTTTCCCTTCTCCCGTGGTTTATAAATTAATGGATACAGTAAAATCACCAATAAAATGTATGATAATGCAGTTTCGAAGTGAGTATGACAGTATGTTATAGTTTATAACTTATTAATAACTGATCGACATCGAAGGCCGCCAATCCAATGATGTACGTAATGTAGACAGACAACGAGTGTAATTGCCGTCTACCTGAAATTCCTACTACTAACCTACAAATTGTAATAATTAGTTATTAATTATTATCTATGATATTATATTATTATGTAATATGTATATTATATATGTATTATGTATTTATGTAAATAGTATAAGTGACTAAAATAAAATATAGAAAAGTGTAATACAGACATACAGTATGAATAATATGATATTTATGAATACCTACTTTAAATTTTTTCAACCCCCCCCCCAGAATTTTTTTCCTGCGTTCGCCCCTGTAATGGTCTATGGTGTGTTGTTATTATATAATGATTATAATGAGTATTTAACAGATGCCTATACGGGTCTTCTATGTTTAATGACTAATAGTGTTTATTGTCTGACGTTTCAATTTAATATAATATTACGGATGAAGGCTACATTTTACAATGAGATAAAAACATAATTGTAATAATAGTTAGGTAGCGAACGATTTTTTCAGTTTTATTATGGGCTAGAAAAAACCTTTGCCCACAATGACGCCGCCACTGAGCAAAGGAGAGGAATGAGGCAAATGCCGTATAGGGTGGCACAAATTATTGTAACTTTTTAAAAGGTGGCAAACGTTTAAGTACCTATAGGTATTTTTAATATGATTCCCAACGAAAATTAGCACTGAAGCCCGGAGGTAACACAACACCTATTGGTATACTTGTACTTAATGAACGGATTTGTCGTCATATACCTAGCCATATAGAGGTATAACTGTTACTGTATAAGGTATAATATAATATACCTACCTAGTTAATAATATACAAATTTACAATCTACACATCCTTCACTATGATATTATGTAGGTATATCGAAATAATTATCCTCTGCGGTATGCCAGTTTACATATTTGTATCATTGTATCGTGTACCTACTAACCTACTGTATAATATTAGGTACTTACGTATCTAGATATTTTTTTTATCTACCTATATTATATATAGAGGCATATCTGGAATCTAGATTATACTACATGTCTATGTATAATAGCATATTATATAAACATCGTCAACAAATGTGTCAACAGTTTGGAGTAGGTTAGGTTATTTGAAACGATTGGATGACACTATCGTAATACAGACCCTATAGGGTTTTGATAAGTATCTGTTTTTCCAATAATATTTACCCCAATTTTATTTTCGATTATTTACATAAATTTCTGATAAACGTTGATTTCGCCATGTCCATATGTATGGCTACGAATGCTACGATACGTGCACGTTTTGTACTATATTATTTCAGCTGTGAAAGTGAATTACCCAATTTTATAATATAGCTCAACAGTTGCCATATACCTTCTGGCTACTTAGATCCGTCGATAGACAATGACAGCATGATTATGACKTATAATAGGTAGATAGGTATCTATATATATTATATAGTCACCGTTCGTGTGCCCATATAAGTAAGATATTAGATAGTATAGTAAGTATCTACATATGGATACATTATATGAACTGACGTTAAGCGTTAGTATCCCCATATTGGGTCAATTTTTTAAGTGGTGTTGGCTACGACGCTTAGTAACCTATATTCACGATTATGCCTCGGAGACGACGATATTGTATGTGTATTGTAAATAATACACTAACATGTACGGTATTATTATAGATTATAGTCATTTACTTCTATTCTATATTATATTTTAGAGCGCTTTCAGACGAGACACTTTGTAGCCGGCTACTTATGTCTGAAAAGAATCACGCGACTAAGACAACATTGCTATAAATATACTCGTACACACGAGACACAGACATGGACTGTGTGTCGCGCCACCGAATTGGCGTGTTTTGTCCCCGTCAGCCGCCAGACACTGATTCTAGTAGCCGGCTACAAAGTGTCTCGTCTGAAAGCGCTCTAAAATATAATATAGAATAGAAGTAAATGACTATAATCTTAAATCTATAACGATTATATAATTATAATAATATATATAATATATATATATATATAATTATATAATCAAAACGACGAGTCTGCGAAAAAGCGATTATGTCGCACACACTATCGCCGTGGTATATACACATGTCTAATCACCGTCTCGGCGGCGTTAATATATATATTATGGTGTGTCTGTGAGGGGGTATATTATGCTATATTGCATTACATATTTTATACGGATTATAATATTGTTTATACCTATATTTTGCATTCGGTTTACCACCAACTACCGAGTAATAAAATCGGTATACGGACAATTTCCCCCSGGACTGTTTTTGGCGTAGTATAGGACATTTCCTCCCCAATATATTTTCGATGCGGACATTTTCCCCCCATTTTTTTTTTAAAGTTTATTATTGAATAATATAATATAATTTATTATTTAATAAAAAATTATTTTTTTCATAAATATAATCAATTATACTATAATTACCTATTATAGTAGATATAACCAGGGGGTGGAGGTTATTAGGAGTAGGCATATTGATTGAAAAGCTTGTAGAGTTCTGGTGTTGGAAGGCTTTGAAGACCCCCATAGCTGAATGCCATAGAGCCAGACCGGGCGGATTATCGCTTTATATATTGTCACCTTGTTTGTTAGGGATAGTTTAGATTTTAAAAAWGGTCTAATAAAGAGGTGCAGCCTGGAGTTAACTTGTTTCCGCTTTAGTTTTAGGTGTGGACYCCACGYAAGACGTTTGTCAAATGTGAGCCCTAAGTACTTAACTTCGTTTGCTGAAGGAAGGACTTTGTTGTTGAGTGTAACTGGAGGGCAGTCAGAGTTTCGTAAAGTGAATTATGTTACGTGAATATTGGTGTTCTAAAATATCGATCAACTGCAGGCAAGAATGAGCTCAGCTGTAGATATTTTAAGAAAAATTGATTTCGAAAGTGTAATTGAAGATTTTGTAAAAATCAAAACACAAAAAGTTGCAGGCATTTAATTTTGAATATAGTTATTAAAATAGTACAATAAAATATGGGTAATTCGTTTTCAGTTTTTAATTTATTATGAAGTAAAATTAAATAGTTAGCATATGGTCACTAACTATAGTAGGGTAATTAGGTATACTGAATATATTGAACGTTAATTAGTAAGCAAAATATTAGCCACCACAATATATTCCGCCAGAGTCACCACATAACTAAATAATCCGGCCCTGGATATATTATTGTTTCTGCTTGTAGTTTATATTTTATAGATGAGAAATTTGACCAGAATTATAAGTGAATTACTATAAGCCGTCAACGGACAACGATGCATCATAATATGTTAGTCGTCTTAGTTCTTACCGCTTCACTTATTTGCTGTAATTTTTATTTTCTCGTCGCACATAATCGTATCATGATCGTACGCCAAGAGTACGACGACCACATGATTCCGTGCTCGGAAGTCATTAACGTTTTTTATTTTTTTTTTCATTAAGGTCGACTTTTATTTAACGCTCGTGTAGGAGTGGTATCGATTGTATACATTATAATATGTACAGTTTTGATGTGTACTGATACTGATGTCCGCGCATATATTTGCAGTAAAACTCCATTTTTTTTTTTAGTTTATCAAACGATTTTCCCGGTTGAAAATATAATGGATTGCGCGTGCATGCGAGTTCGGGTCGATGTACCTACCTACCTACATCTGTGTAATAGGAGTAATAGCTGCAGCGATTCAATAAGACGAGGAGGTACCCCTACGTGTTTTTTTACCGAAATCCTAGTTCATGACAAAAGTTTGTTTCTTTTTCCTCTACTGAGCATCATATACTAATTATTATTATAAGTTTATCAAAAAAAAAAAATAAATAAACAAACAAACAAAACATGTACTTATAAGTTCCCTCATGGGCACAATAATAGAGCCTCTATAGGCTTAGGGGGGTATTAGCAGCTTCAGTTTTGAAATTAGCATCCTCAAATAATGTTCGAGTTTATATATCAAAAACTTCTTACAAAAGAAAAAACTAAAATGAGAAAATGCATAGCTAATGAAGCACCCTTAGTTTTTTTGTATTGAAATTGAGCATATTACATTTAATGATTTCTTTGCTAAATGGCAACACATATAGATTAAAATGACTAATAGCCATAGTGAATCGCGGAAAAAATGGCCACGGAAAAAAACCCAAACTAAAAAATACACCCCGGAAAAAAAGCCCAAAAAAATATATTATATTTACATTTATATATAGATACATATTTTAAATAATATACATAGTATTTAATTATTTTTTTTTAAACTTTTAAACTTTTTAAATTTTGTATTGTTTTAAATTGGCTTTTTATAGTTAATTATCATTATTGTACAGTTATAAGTTAATTTACAAGTAAATCATGTGATTTGGGTAGTCAAAGGTAACACCAGTGTGTAGCTGAATTAACTTTATAGTTCAACCTAAATAAGTTTTATTTAAAATGGTTATAAATGGATAAAATTAATCCAAGTAAATAATTATTAATTAACCCTTATTAAGTGTTTTGGTGTTAATTCAACACTAGATTTGTACGTGTGATAGTTAACAATACAATCTATATTATTATGTTACCACAATAAGTCCAGAAACGTGAATATTTTGTATTTTGTATTTTTTGTTCTTATAATACGTTCTGTTAATAATATGTATTATTCTATCACAGAAATAAAAATATTATATGATTGTAAATCCATTGTATAATCAACAATCAACCACATTTTATAAAATATTACAATTTACAATGATTGCACTTTTATTTTCTTGGGCTGTATTTTTCAGTTTGGGTTTTTTTCCGTGGCCATTTTTTCCGCCTCCCAGCCATAGTACGAGTATTGTTGTGCGGGATAGATAAATGTAGCAGAGATTTAGACAAATAAGTCATAATTTTACATCAAATAGTTTTAGAGTTTGTTCTCAGTTTTTCGGTTGCGTGCAATCTCATTAATAGTAACTTTCAAACTATATTGTGCCACCACGACCAGCGCAAGTCGTACCGAGATGGACATGGACGAGCATTAAAAAAAAAGAGCTCTCTTTTTCCCTGTCTGTCACACAATCACCACTTCGACTTTCGAGCGTCGAGACACATCGATGTAGGTCGAGCTTAAGACTATACCGTCTATTTTGACTATTCGACACTATTCGTCGATCACAGTTATAGTATTCTTCGACAATAATATTAAAATGCGAACCAAATAATGATTACACGCTTGCGACTATGTTGACGAGTCGTTTTCACCAATAATAATAATCATAATAATGATGACGACGTCGACGAGGATCGTGTGTGGCACAGCGGCAAAACCATATAGTAATAGTAATAATAATAATGGCCTAGGTACACTATACATTATATAGGTAATTGACGGAAAGGATTGCGAGGATGAGGATAGGCAGATGATACATGGCATGCACGACGACGATAATATGCGTATACAAAATATCAAACGCAAAACACAATGTAGTAATAATAAGTGTGCAGTGAAATAAAATTTAAATCAAAAAACGCATTCGACTGTGTGTAGGTACGGGTGTCTGTATAATTATTATGTATATCATAAATTATAATATATAAACTCTCGGGGTTCGGAACAAGAAAACCCGTCATCAGTTGCTCGCGGTAACAAACAGTATTAGCATTAATTAACATTTATAATATTTACATGGACAATAAAATAAAATAAAAACTGGATGCAATTCTCTGATACCTATAAAAAAAAGTAATTAATAATTCGATAAAAATGGGCTGAATACAAATCAACATGCTGATGATAAAATATTGCAAAACACAACAAATAATAAATATAATTTAAGTCATCGATATCGTATCAATATCATGGCCATCGTTAAACTGAACACGTTAGTCAACAAGTTCAGAGAACGTTTGGTCAAGATCGTCACAAATGTATTTGTATTTCTCTTTCTCGTGTACCAACTCGTCTGCAAAAGAAAACAAAAACGGAATTGTTCAAAGTAATCATTTTTTTTTTCCAAAATCGCTTTAATATATTTTTTTCTTTTACATTTTTTTATTGGTAAAACATATAGCACTTGGGATGACAATAAATATATGTAAAAAAATATTTTAATAATAATAAATAATAATTCGTAAAATAAGTTATCAGTGATTACGATCTAAGTGTTAATGAAATAAATCGTCTGTACAATACAAATTAGACGTAGGTATAATATATATTATTTATGTACCGAGATATATCAGAATTTGTGTTTTTTTCATTTATATTTTTTTCATTGGTTATTTGACTAATAACGAAAACAATACAAAGCTCTATATAAATCACAAAAAATACATATTTTTTTTTAATAGACATATACAGTTAGACAAAAGTTAGGTTATGGTTTTATTTTTATGTTATATAAATAAAAACTAAGCGTATATATAAATAATAATAACGGTTGGATAAAAATTAATTATATTCAACAGACGTGTTTTCCGAAGAACAAAAAAAAAACATTTTTAGTACGCGTAACGCTACGGCCGGTACAAAGTGTCAATAGACGTTATACGATTTCTTTCCAGTGGAAAAAAAAGATATCATAGAAATAATAGATACAATTTTTTTTTTATTATTCATTTCGGGGTAGTCGAAGGGTCACACTTACGGCGTTCCGTAAAATTTTTCTACAAGCGTAAAAACAAAGCCAAAATAATATCATAAAATCAGTAAGCTATGAAATACAATACATTGCAAAACAAAAAAAAAATAAAATAAAATAAATAAATAAAATAAAATTTAGGTAATTCACTAAAATAAACTAAAGTTACAAGTTTTGTGTCGAAAAGTTTAACGTGTGGACACGGTGTTAGTAGCACTGTATTATTAAAATTATATTTTATTGTTTCGTTTTGTGTTTTGTGGGAATGTAGTGTGTGGTATTCGGTAGAGCTGGAGTATGGTCGGAGACAGAGACGACGGATATGGATAAAATTTAGTGAAATCGTATGTGTCGGGAAAGAAGGAGTGTGTGTGTTTGTGTATTTTTTGTGTTTAGATGCCATACAAGTCGACAAACGCAAGGTCCAAGCTGTCGCCAATGTCTCTGAATCTCTCCTTTTCGGCAACCAACTCATCTGAAAAGCAAATCGGTTACCACCGGGTCAGTAAAAACGTTCGGACGTGTCTCGGGTTTGAGAAAAGAAATCTTCGGACAGGACAGTGTTTTGGCGGAAGTGTAAATATATATATATATATATATATATATATGTATATATATACGTAGAGCCCAAATCACATAACCGTATATTTAGAAAATAAGAGAACAATAAAATCGAATAGAATGAAAGTCAATCGGTTTCGCAAATATAAAGGATGTTAGCAGGTTTTTAATATATAATAATACATCTATCGTCAGAATGGAAAAATTAATAATATACATATATTATGGTGTTAATGATTTTTAAAGGTAAGGAAATAAAATCGATTATTCAAAAACAATAATCCATCCGGTTATCTTATACGTTTATTAGACATTCATTAGTCATATTATAAAGATTTGTGTTTAGTGTGGAAATAATAACGTAGAAATATTAGTAAGTATACGTGTTAACAACGACAGTATCTAAGAAGTCACCATTAAAACGAAAATTAAATTTTGCCCAAATACAAACGTTTAAACACATTTTAATAATTATTGCAATGTTGATAGTTTGTGTTGCATTATTATTGTGTTGGTCGATCATGCGAAGGCTATACATTAAAATAATTATTTATATATTAACTATACCAACGATAGTGACCTATTAATAATTTGAAATATTGAAAAACAATAAAAATAATAGAATTTTTTAAAATTGTTTTAAATCCTTGATTTATATAATATATATTTCCTGTAGGAAAGTAGGCGTTAAGCACGATTATGTGAGAATATTTTACGTTAAATGTATATTATGTGCAGTAGTGCCTACGTAATCGACACTGTAATGCTGGATACAAGTCAATTAACGTCAAAAAGCGTATTGTTATTTGTTATAAAGAATATGTTCGGAATTGAATATGGTTCCTATTGTTTTAATGTTCCACCATGTGCGGTAATATCGTACTCGAATTATTATTATTTCTTATGTACGGACATTATTAATTTATCGCCTTCGAATATTCAATAATGGCCGTACACAAAGAAAATGTTTATTGTAATTTCGAAGTGAACCTATACATCTTCCAAACCCCCAACCACAATGCCATAAAAATGATTTTAAAATCCACATTGAAAGACCAACATATTTTATTTTCGAGCGTAGTTTTCGTCGAAATGATGTATACATATAAACATTCAAATAAAATGGGCAATAGTAGTTATTATAATGTTATAGTCATTTATAAGGTTAGTAAGTAGTACCAATAATAAGAGAAGAAGAAGAAAATTATAGATCATGATATTATAAAATACAAGTGAATTATTAATATAAAAATGTGTATAGTCAAACCTGTGCAATAACGAAGTTAGTATGGAGTGCGGAAATGTTAAACAAAACATAAATATAACGAGTGTAAAAGTATAAAAAAAATGGTTTAAAAAATTAAATAATAATATTAGGTAATTTTTAATAAGGAGTAGGAAATTTGCTAAGAAGGGACGGGGAAGGAAAACGCGGGACGGTATGTTATTTTACATGTTTTGAATGTCGTGCAGGGTGGCCTCCATTTCCTCTTGCAGATGTTTGTTCTTTTCCTTTTCGCCAGTTAAGTCGTCTGTGTTGCGTYAGGTCCACAGCAAAACACACACGCGCGTCACACATGAAAACAAAACATTTAGCTAACATGCACAAACAAGTGAAAATTTAAAAATAAAAAACAAAAAAAATATCTAAATACAAGTCTCACTAGGCTACTGGAGATAAATTTTAATAACAAACAAATAATAAAAATCTACGTGCCGAAAAATCAGGCAAGTATGTATAATATTATGATGTTAAATACTGCAGAATCAAGGATGATGAATTCAGTGGCACCGAACCATAAATTTAGATCACCGGGGCATTGGCGAACGTTAAGCCTCGCCCCATCCCCATTTAAATTTAAAAAAAAAATAGGTAAAATGTCCACCACGTAAATGTGTGTAAATATGTATACGTTTATAGGTATACATATTTATTACGAATTAAAGTGTCGCTCTAATAACATTTACACCACCACTTGAGACAATATATTAGACCTAGTCACATTCGGCGCCACCGATGAGGATAATGATGATAATGTGTGTGTCTGCGAGTTCGTTGGATACATCGCAACGATACTCTATATTGGATTATTATTATAAACATTCGCACGCGCAGAGTGCAGACCATCATCGTATTATTACTGTGATTATGTAATATAGACATAAAAATGTATCGATTAATCGGAGTTATTTGATTAGAAACACTTGGACGATTTGCACTCTTCGGACAAACACACGATGGCGATATTAGAAAACAATCTCAAACAAGAAAAAAAACACATTCATTTATTTATATATATATATTTTAGTAGGTATATTTCTCGATTGTTTACCATGCGCCTCTCCATTGCGATATTGAAACGTCAATGGGCTTAGATCATGCTGCAGATATTTTGTGGACAACAGAAGACTAGACGTCTTGTGTACAGGATGATGCATAGTGAATATAAAATTAGTGGGAATTGAGGAATCTCATTATCTGTGTGATTCTGTAATCACCCCCAATTTTTTGAACCCAAAATTCAGATGACCCAGAATGCGTTATTATTGTGAATTCATGAACAAGACGTCGATATCCGCAAAAAAAAAATTATCACTCCCGCGTTAAACTGTATACGCCACGCGGGATATTAGATATCATATTTTATTACGCGACACACTTTATGCGTTTATATATTACAGATCTTCTTTGTATAGATATTATTATAATAAATTATCGATCCCAAGACTGTAAACCGATATAATAGTATTTTTGAAAATATATAATAATTTACGAGGGAAACGTAAAACTCACCTTCGAGCCTGTCGACTTCCTTCTGCAATTTCTGCACCGATCTCTCGGCGAATTCAGCGCGAGCTTCAGCCTATAAGTGAAAAAAAAATCGAGTGTCGATAAATGTCTGTTACATGTTTATGATTTTGTTTAAGTTTTTTTTTAATCAATTAACACAAAAAATTTACACTTATAACAATAAAGTGTATACAGAGTGTATTCCGAGGATTTATTATATACAATTAATGACATTGAAAATATCGAATTCTCGCGATTCACACTCCGTATAAACTTCATACAGAAGAAAAACCATGCGGCATAATAATATATTAAAAAATAAAAATAAAACGATATTTTATGTGATATTGTTAACGTTGTTAGGAACTGCAAACGAAAACTTCAGATTTAAAATTATTAATAATATTAAATGTATATGACACGATTAACGGGCGGTCTGTGCGACAAAAACGGTGCGAAAACTGTGAACGCGTTGAAAGCATCGAGATGTGCGTTACTAATAAATATAGTTATAAAATAATATGTGTCTATCGCAGCGGTCCTCATTAGGATTTTAGAAAGGGCTGAATATAATTTTTTTTTATTGGTTATACTTATTTTAATTTGTACAATCTTTATAAAATATTTTTACATTACGCACAATATATGGAGGGAGGGATTGGTTGGCTAGATTGAAAAAAAAACTATTCAATAATAGTACTTATTCGTTTTACATTTTAAATTATAATAATGATCAATATTAAAATGTACAACTGCAGTTCACTGAATTTAGTGAAGAATAGTAAAACGAAAAAAAAAATAATAATAATAAAATGAGACTTTTGTTAGGAAAGGGTTACTATAGGAAAAGTTCATAAATGACACAAACGCTTTTCTTGGACTTGGGATTTTAGATTTTAGATTTTAGAATGTACAACTTAATTTTAGCGCGGGCCGCATTAAATTTGTTAAAGGGCCGCATGTGGCCTGCGGGTCGCGTAGTGGGGACCGCTAGCCTATCGTGTACAACGAATATATCAACACATATCGTACCCACGTGGAATCAGGACGAAAACATCAAAATAACGATCAAACTATTTATTTTTTTTTCGTGTTACCGTAACCACATAAAATACACGAACAGTCGAGATAAAAAAAAGTTGTTCTATGCGTCGTACTCAGTGGAGCTTTGATATCAAGTCCAAAATGGAGATACGGCAATCGCCGCAAGACGAGTAGAAAAAACATATATATAATTAATTATTAAATGATAAATATACGAGAATAATTTAGAATGAACATTATTAATTGTATAATAATTATGACGTTTATTAAATATGTGTTGAGCTTAATACCTCTTTGAGCTGTGCTCCGAGACCTTTCACTTGTTCCTCAAACGTTTCTTCCCTTTGTGTGGCCTATATATTTATTTTTAAGTATATAAACGTGCGCCGTGTTTGTGAGTTAAGCGTGTACAAACCAATTTGCAAAAACAAAAAAAAACAATATCAAGTTAGACAAAAGTATTATAACACAGGTTTAAAAGAATATTATTGTATTTGGTTTTTGTCAGTGTTTTCAATGTATAGTAGGGGTGTATTTAGTAAGTTTCGTGAAAAGGTGTCATATCAAAATCACGAGTTTAATCATTAGTTATTAGTAGTTATTATATAAAAACGGTACAAGTGGTGTAAGTACGAAATAAGCCTGGTGGTTTTTTTTTTAAATTTTCTTAAGCAGACTAAAATGCAAACAAACGCAGCCTGTGAGTCGTATTTTTTTTGTTATAAAATACCTCCTTCAAACGGTTGGTCAAAGTCTTAATTTGGTTCTTATACTCTTCTTCACGTTGATTTGCCTGTCCAAAATCATTAATTAGAAACTTTGAAATTTTTTATACAATAGGATTTTTTTAAACACTATAATATATGAGTTTAGGGATTTCTGAAACGTGCATTAGACTATATGTCTAATAACTATATGTAACTAATACTATATGTGCATATATCAAAACCATATGAATCTTTATAAAAATATCTAAATTTAAATTTATTAAATTATTTTTTATTTTATAAGTCAGTTATTTTAATAGAATTTAATTTCACAATACGGTTGAAAGAAAAATATTTCGCGATTTCGTACAGTCTAGGCTAAATATAGTTATGTTTTGCTAATTTTTGGTTAGCAAATATTGATTTATAAAATATTCTGAATCAATAAATTATAGGTTCAAAATATGTCATTTATTGTTTTGTAAAGTTTTATTTGGTCGTAAAAATGAATAAAATAATAATAATTAATTAATTTAACTGAATTGTATACGTGTACCTTTTCTTCCGAAACCTCGAGGGACTTCAAGTTGTTACCAACAACACGTAATTCTTCTTCCAATTCCACGATTTTTCTATAGGACAAAAATAAAAACAGAATAAGTTCAACAAGTAATACACAAAATATTTATGTTCTCTACAAAGTTTTTTATTTTTAGAAATATCAACTCAAGATTAAGGGTATCTTTTTCTGTAATGTGATCGAAAGTTTTTAAAAATTTGTTTGCTTATAGTAAATACCCTTAAAAGTTACATGAGTAAATATTACAACAGAAAAAATTGGTAATTTTTGATTGCGATGAAAATAAAGCCACTCGGACGCAACACACTACTTCAAATACAGCAAAAATATAACAAATTATGTTCACGTAAAACATGTACATCTCTGTTGTTCAGCACTTACCAAGAAGTAGTCATATAAACTATATGGTCTAAAATAAGAGTGGAAATATTTTTAAATTTATTTTTAAGTGCGCGTTCTCACTTTTTGACTTTAAAACTACTAAAATACTTACGCATCGCTGTGTTCAGCTCTTTCTTCAGCTCTTTCCAAATCTTGTTCCATCATGACCAATTTACGGCCGACCTAATTATAATTGAAAATAAAAGAATTTAACAAACTAATTGCATGCAATTAAAACAAAGATAAAATAATAAAAAATCTTGGACAGAGGATAAAGAGAAAGAACATATTGTATATTATAAAATAAGGATAGATGAAAAACACACAAAACACAAAAACAAAAAAATCAAAACCGAAAACCAAAAACTAAAACGAAAAAAAAATTCAAACAGCCGCCGAATGGAAATTTTATAAAGCTTCAGTTTTTTTTTTTTAAAGAAATATCTGATTGTGAAACAAAGCCCAAAAAAAACTAAATAACACTAATTATGCGCGCAACAGTTGTTTAAGCGTAGGTAGTATAATATTATATGATATAATAATACACTACAGTACAGTTTATATTCTGCCAAAGCAACGAAAAATCGCAATCATAAAAATTATCCAACAGTTTCCTTTAAATGATCTTTCATATGTGTAAATCTAATGATTTATTAATCGTCCTTACGATTCGCCTGATTCGGCACGTTCTTCGGCTCTTTCCAAGTCGGCTTCAACCATGGCCAGCTTACGCGCTACCTAATCGCAATAATTTCCCAAAAAAAAGATAATTAAACAAAAACGGTCATAACAATTTTTTTATACAAATATTAAGAAATAGGTTAATTAATTAACACACACACATACACCTTATAATATATACGTGTATTTATGTATAGATGAGTGGTGTAGCGAGGATCTGTGTGATGGGCTGGGGCGCTGGGGTGAATAAAAATTACTTCATGAAAATCACACTTTCACGGTCTCCGTTACCGTTTATCTCCCATGCCGTAAAAGAAATCCACCATTCCTCTTGCCCACTTCTTAAGACACACAGTAAGCCGAAGTGTGCTTGATAGAATTACTAAAATTATTAATTATAAATGGGCATCATATATTATAATATAAACGAGATACTAACAATTATAACAATGCAGGTAACGAGATGGCTGATTTGTAACAATATATTTTCGACCAATAGTAAAACGATCAAAAAAATATTTGCTAGTCACAAGGCATTATAGAGAAACTCAAGATAAATTAATCAACTTGCAAGACTGTTTAAAATAAAAAAATAACGGATTATTGTTATCTATTTTGGAAAGTGGGTGAGTGATGTTTCATTTAGTGCCCCGGTCCTTTAGCTACACCACATTTCCCTATTTTATAAATTTAGTCTGCAACACTATACACAGCGTGTAAACAATATGACGATTATTGATTAGGAATGACTGTAATGTATTGCATAGTCAATATTATGTATAAAGGAACACCAAGACAATAAAATTGTTAGATTTCGACGAGTTAAACAGAAAACAAACCACTAACTGCCTAATGAGTTCATTTATATAATTATGATATGTACACTTCATTATGCAAACTGTATGACTTATAATAAAATTATTATTGAATCCAAGAAATCGACTTTATTAAGTATATAAACGGTCGATGATAATGTTTTAAAATATAAAGATTAAAATTTAACTTAAAATTACATTAGAATAAAAAAAATAAAAAATACTTAGCGATAAAAACCAACGACGTATTTTACAAACAGATGTTTACAAAAAATATAATTTTAATTGCTTAACTAATAAAAAATGTTTATATAAAATCAAACAGCGCGATGAAAAAAAATATTTTAGCACATACATTGCGTTTAATGACTAACTATAAGTAATAACATGTCATATTATTATTTTATGACAAATACCGATTCAGCCAAGACACAGTAGTTGATAAATTTATTTTATTTGTAAACAAATACAAAATAGTAACAATATACGTTATTTTAAATCGGCTGAATATTACCATTATAAAAGCGCAATAGCTATATTATTTAATGAGAAAAAAATTGTGTCTCAGCTGAACAAGTTTACAACCAATGACACACCAATATACCAACAACATAAGCTTTGACGACGATTTCAAATTCAAACCTTGTCCGCTTATTAGACAAGGTTTAAAACTTTGAAAAGACTCGAGCGTTACAATAATATTTCACAATAAACTAATAATTAAATGAGATTCTTCAATCGTCCAAACTAAAATTCGAATGATTACACATAAATAAAACTCAGAAAAATTCGTTCACGATACTTTCTCAAAAATACGCTAATTTTGTGTGCGAGGGAACATCTTCGAACTCCAAAATGTTTACTAATATTATATTGACTATATACTATTAAATTTTTATATTTTATATACATAGTGATTGTTTAAAACGTAACACGCATAATATGTTATCGTCTGCAGTCATTCGCCGTTTAATGAATATGTATGCCAATTTTTTTAGTTATTTTTTTAGTGGCCATTTTTTAAACGATTGTCAAAACTGTGAATTTTTAATTAATTGATTTTGTGTTCCAAAGAGGAAACATTTTTTCGATATTAATTATGAATATTTGGCGTAAAAATATTGAATTTAACCATTTTTTTTTCTCACACAATTTATCATTTAAACGAATATTTTTAATAAGAAAATAAAAAAAAAATAATAGTGATATATGATACTCAGGGTAATTGTTCAAAAACAATCCGCTTATAAAATTGTTAAAACCTCAAAAGATTTAAATAGAAAGCTAATATATTTCAATACTCGTTAATTTTATGGACATTTAATAAAAATATTAAATAACATTTGTTTTCACTAAGAACAGAGGTATATCATACTTTCACGAATACATCTCTAGTTCAGTTTAAGGCAAAGAGATCTATTGTAAGTTTTGTAGAAAAAATTATTTCCTGTGCTTTGGTTTTTTTTTAAAAATAATTTCATTTTTTATAAATATAAACGTGTTTAACTTGTTTTCAATCAACTTCTAAAAAATGAAAAAATTATGAGACCAAAACACCGGAGATTATTATTCTTATCTACACTAAAATAATTTCATGTAATAAATCGTACCATAGTACTATTTGTAATTGTATTGGATGCATGGAATATTTGTTGGSTGAGTCAGACAGAGAAAAAGAAATGCGAGTGTTGGAACTCCCCGAAAGATAAACAATATTAAAAAAGTAGACTTTTTTCTTTGAATATTAAAAAAAAAAATGTTTACGACACTATAGCAGTGTACTTTAAAAAGTAAATCAATATTTAAAAAGGAGACTGAGAGACGACGAGCGTGTTCGGTGCTGACAGAATCGCTCTGTATAATAATATATTACAACGACCAAATTGACAAAAACGGGGACTGCCGCGACGCGCGACGTCAGGAATCTCGACGAAACAATAATGATTTATTATCATAATTACCTACGCATTAAACATATTCTGTTTTCTCCTTTTTATAATACTATACACAGAGAACGAGCATCACATACGACGTTAATGTTTGAAATATCCGAATGGTCTACCTATATCACGTCCACGTCCTATTATTAAACTAGACATATTATAGGTATTACATTTTTAGATACCTTGGTAATCGTACAGAAAAACCCCATTAACGGGCAAATCGATTTTTTCAAACGGCGCGATTATTGATTATCCTTAAAGAATGAAAATATATAACACAATATTTTTTATTTAGTTTGTGATTGAAGTTAAAAGTAACACACATCAGTGATACGTTGTACGTACGAGATAGGCAAGTATATGTAAAATAGTATGATTTACGATGGTATTTGAAGTGGATTTGTTGTTCTCCGAACACATTATATGGAAGAGCAATTATTGAGTAATTATTTCAACTGGATTTTCGAAAACAATGACTAATCAGACGTGTTTTTTAGGACGATTCACATCAGGCGCGTGTGCGTATGAGCGTTTTAAAATTATTTCTGGTAAATTATTTAATATTTTAATTTTACAGATCTAGGTACATATCTATAGATATAGGACCCCAACAACATATTATTATTACGAATATGATAAGCGTACATAAAAACGTCAAGACCTTGGAATTATAATTTCGTCGCTTGTGTAAAATTTAAACACGTAGAATGCATGGGTCGTGAGAAAATGATAATTTTTTTTCACATTTTTATATATTATAATATTATTACCTATATGTGTGGGACTATAGAATGTAGATACGAAGTAATGAAAATGCTGATTCGCAACCATGAAAAGAAACTGAATTTGTTGTTGATACAAACGGGAAGGGAAAAAAAATAATATAATATGAAATTGTTAATCCCTCCCCACGACTATGTAGTTATATTTTGTCAAAACAAAATGATAGGACCTTACTCCAATAAAAAATTGTTGTTACAATATCATTTACTAGAAAACGATGAATAATCCATCCGAACGATTATATTTATAACCATAGGCGCAAATAGACAAATTATTTTGGGAGGACTAAAGCCCCTCCTATAATATTTTCCAAAAATTATATATTCTCAACACTAATTAAAGACTTTTGAACTGGGGGACTTGGAAAAAATATGGGGGGACATAGTCCCCCCAAACCCCTACCTATTTGCGCCAATGTTTATAACTGAATAAGACTGATAGCCGTCGATCGTCTAACACTTATAGGGCATAGACTTTAATGTATTATTATAAATATATATAACAATCGATCTATTAATTTAATTTTCCATACGACACGCACGCCATCAATATTCGATATACACCTACTGGGAGCCTAACCATATTGTTTTATCCGAAAACTGATACTACTATATGTAATACTATAGGCTAACAATTATTTTGCAGGACTGAGTGCGATAATATTGTGACGTTAGGTAATGCTGTTGAAGTATTCAAGTTTAGACGCGATTGTATAGATAAAAAAAATCTGTAGTCCGCCCAACCGAAATGCCTAACCCAATACGAATTTGCTAGGAACAACGTCGGATTTGGTTTTATTTTAAATATTTTTAAAAATATTATTATACAATTTACAAGTTTTTCATTCAACGTTTATTTAAACGAGCGCAGTGTGCGTAGTCGTTACATGTATTTTTCAATACAAGTAATAATAACAGAATGTGAGTATTATCGAAGAAGAATCGTTATAATAGATGAAATTCACTCCTCAGACAACAAACCAGTTCTCTCTTTTACAGACAGAAAACACCCTTTTCCCCGGTTCCCGTCGCTTTGAATATATTATTATTATTACACATACAAAAAGTATGTAACGCCTGTAAATCTGTCATACCATACTTTTTTAAGTGAAAATCCTATCTTCTGTTTTTTAATGAAAAACAATCTAAAGAATGTTAATAGTATAGCACATTTATAGCATTTTTTGTCAATATTATGGCGTTTTTAGTGTTTATACAATCTCCTATTGAGATTTCATAATAGATCACTTGCAATTATATTATTATTTTATTGAACACTATCCTATCGAATAATTGTCTAGAAGCTTTGGTTTTTAATTTTATATACTATGATATAATATTGTTCATACTGTGACGGCTTGGGCGCTCATTAATTTGTTTTTCATTGACGTAGTCAATCAGTCGTTTTCGTAATTTATTTTATACGCCGACAACTCTTTGAGAACTTCTCTTCCAATATTAATATTATGTATACWTCGTAGACACTGACTGAATTAATATTTTAGTAATTAAAGAGTCAATGATCATTTTTCTCAATTCTAATATGATTTTTCATATTTTCAGAACCATAATATGTATAATAATTAAATAATACAAAAATAGATTAAAACAGAAATACTGATTTATTCAGTTACACAAGAAAAATAATATATCAACAAATCAAATATTAGATAAGTTATTAAAACTTTCATTAGTTTTTATCAAACTTAAATTAGTARCCAAAACATGAATCAAATATTAAATATTAAGTTTGTAATAAATAAAAATGTATACATGTATATAAATTACACGCGTAACATTAATTTCTCAAGATTATGAATTTAGTACAATTTCATACAATAATATTATATCTGAACAGCTTATTTTTGATATAGACTTTTAAATAAATAAATTTGATATAAATTTTAGTTTTTATAATAACAACTATAAATACATAGTAGATCTTATTTTATTTCTCATTATTTAACACAAAAATAAAATTCAAGACACTAAAAAAATATGTAATCATTTTTCTTACAATATTTTTAAAAACAAAAACATAACAAAAAAAAAAAAAACTTGACAATAGTTCTTAAAACATTAACAGCTTATGCCAATCAATGGTATATAATTATGAAATAGGAAATATTTTATCATCTTAAATGTCAATATTCCTTGGATTCAATACAAAATAATAATTAAGTAATGTAAACAATTTAATAATGGTAAAATTTAAATTCACAAAACAACAAAAATAAAAATGATTGCTTGCACAATTTGCCAAAACTCATAAAAATATACCAAAAGCGAAAATGCCAGTATTATTACTGATGGTTTTTTATTATCTTTAAGCCATTAGTAATGAAATTCCATTTTATGGACTCATTTGTTGTCACACAAATTATGTAAGAGTCACATTATGTATGCCATATTCAAGTTGCATATAACTGACATTTTAAAATTATTGATTAGTAAAATTCAAGTGAGATAACGATTTAATAGTGTTAGTAACACACTATCGTTCACCTCATCATATTTCTTATCAGCTTCTTCAGCCAAGAAGCGGGCTTCTTTTAGTTGATTTTCCAAGGCATCCATACGTTCTTCATCGGCCAAACTGCGGTTTTCCAACACCTTACGTGCACTATATAAATCCCAACCAATGAGTTACTCCCTACAAATCTAGTATTTAAATTGTATCTACCAGTATGTCTACTCAAGGGGTTTATAATTCCTAATAAGAATCTACTTATTTTAATCCTAATTAAATCAGTCAAATGAACAATACCTACAGTTTCCATATAGCCACGTCGTGTTTTTGTGCTTATCAGGAATACAAGGAAAAGGTTGTAAATTAATGAGAAATAAAAACACAATAAAAAATACTCAGATGCTGTTATTTTACCTCCTCATATTTTTTGTCAGCCTCTTCGGCAATAAGTTTGGCTTGTGCCAATTGAGCTTCGAGAATGGCTACTCGGTCATCCTCCATATTTGTTCGGTTCTCCAATGCTTTTCGGATCCTTTTAATTTACAAACAACAACACATCAAATAGATGCACACACAGTGTTATTGTTTTAGCGGGTAAGTAGCACATAAATAAGTTTAATTTAAACTAGTATTTTCTACATAGAAGCAAGTTAGTAAGTAGTGGACTGTGTAATGCATTATTGTTTTTGATTTACCTATTTCCAATCAAGTAATCAATCAAGATACTATTATGAAATGTTGATTTATAAACTGTTGTCTATAGTAAAATTATCAACTCATTTGATGTATATAAGTAGTATAAACTATAAAATAAATCACAAAATGTATATGATTTTGAAGAAATCAAGTGAATAAAGAAAATAATTATTTTTGATAATAATCTCAAAGAATTATTTGGATTGTATAAGTTTATATAAATCACCTTTGACAAATTTGAATACAGAATATAAAATGAAATGTAAAATTTAATCAAATTTCTAAGAATGCAAGATTTATAAAAACAAATGTTTTCAACATTTTGAAATATTTAGCAAGCTCAAACCATAATGTATGTGTAAAAATCATGCTGAACTAACCTTAAGAGATAAAAGTAATTAAAGTTTTAAAAATTGCAATGTTTTTTAACATTTCAGTAATAGGTGGGACTAGATATTTATTTATTTTTTATTTAATCTATATATTATTCCTTTTAATTTATGTCGTTAAACAATTAAATTATTTATTTATTTTAAATTTATTATCAATAGGTACCCATTACTAAATAAACAGGCATGTTAACTAAATAACAATGCTCATAAGATATTCCACAGACTTTGAATATGCGCTCAAATATTGAGTACAATAATGTTATTAATTTAATATGGTTAGGAAATTAATCTTAAACCGAAACTTAAGCTAACATGCCTATTAATTTAGTCAAATCTATACCCAAATGTTTTTAAGTCTTTATCAATTCTATGTATAACATTTAAAATTTTAAATATCCAACACAAATAAATATTTAAATGAAAGATGAAAATTTTCAAAGTACCAAGAGAAATATGACTATTTTGAAATTGTATTTATATAAGTTGAGTCAGAAAAATACATCTTATATTCACTTTTTAAAGGATTTGAATAGGCAGTACTAAAGAAAGTTTCAGAAAAATGATAATTTTAACAATATTTAAATAGATACATATTTTAGTAACCTACATTTACAAAGAAAATTAAAAATTATTTCACATTATAATTTATTAGGATTATCGGTTGTTGTTAAGTTACAAAATTATAAATCGGGTTATAAATGGTTTTGTACCTACCAATGCCATTCAAAAAATAGTTATTAATAATAATTTTTTATACATCAATCACATTTTTATTATAAATTAAGACTATCAATAATTAAGTTTTTATAATTTTGATAAGTTCAATAGTCTTCCAGTGTTTATGATAAAAATATTATTATATATTATATTTATTCACATCAAATATAATTTAGGATTTTTACATTTGATTTACAACACACAACATTCACTTAAGGAAGGTTTTAATAACATTTCTAGGAACTGATGTTAATTATCATAGTATCATTAGTAATTAAGTAGGTACATTAACGTTAGTTAATACTACATCTTGCAAATTAAATCAAACAAAAAAATGGCAATGGATGTATATTGGTAACCTAAACTTACCTACATAAATACGACGTG